CTACGCCACGCTGCCGACGCTCCCGGCGCCATGCGCTGGCGACATGCCGCCGCCGCCCCCGTGCCCTACTCGCCGTCGGTCCCCGCGTCGCGCCCTCCGCTACCTGCGCCCATGAACGTGGCGGCCACTCCGTCGCCGGCCGTCCCGATGCAGCCGGCCGGCCCGCCGCAGACCACCCTTGCTAGAGACCACCCCTCGGCCCACCCCTCGCCGGGCCTCGCACCCATGCAAGTCTCGGCCACCCCTTCGCCGGCCGTTCCAATGGCTGTTGCTGCCCAGCGGCAGACCCAAGCGCCGCCCCCGACCCAGCAGCAGCCGCAGCAGCCGCAGCCCCAGCAGCAACAGCCGAGCTACGCTGCCTCGAACGCTCTCGTAGTTCGCGACGAGAGCGCGTAGCTTCCTCCGTACCTTGCTTTACAGCCCTCCTCACACCCTCTCCATCAGTGCCCGCGCCGTCTTGAGCTCGTCGTACAGCACGTTGAACTTTTGGGCGGTGAGCTCAAAGGCGACCTTCTCGCCGCTCGTCGACGTCAGCGACATCGAGACCGAGGGCACGTTGAGATCGCGCATGGTTGAGCCCGTCAACAGGTAGTCGACCCGCCACTGAAAGTCGTCGAGGCGAGCCAGATGCAGCGACGTCGCCGCCAGATGGTCGCGGATCGAGTCCAGTGCCTTGGCGTACGACTTGACAAGCGTCCCGCCAATCTCCACTGGAATACCCAGCTGCTGCAGCTCGGCGCCGAGCGTCTCCGGCTCGCAGTCGTACTTTGACGCCGAGCGGATGATAAAGTCGACGCCAGCAAAGGCGGCCTTGAGATCCGAGGCGGTGAAGCCTGCAGCCTCTGCAATCTTGGCCATGCTCTGGTAGTTGAGCTCCTCGTCCTTGATCGACCGGATCACCTGGGTCACCAGCCGCTTCATCTGCATCAGCGTCAGCTTGGAAAGCACTGTGATCTCTGCCAGAATCCAGTCGGGCGCATCCAGCCCTCCGCAGAAGATGAACTGGCGGGAGGGAGGGGCGGGGGAGGAGGGGTGAGGTGGGGGGGGGGGGGGGGGGGGGGGGGGGGGGGGGGGGGGAGGGGAGAAGGGAGGGAGGGAGGGAGGGGAGGAAGAAGGAGGGAGGAAGGGAAAGGGGGAA